TCAATACTTTTATTTTGATGATAAAAAGGTAGAAAAATCAACGATAAAATAATAAAATGTTGTACTCCCTGAAAAATGTTTTATTTTTATAAAGTACACGAGTCGTAAAATAGTTATCAACTTTAAAGTTGAAAATGTCTGCTACTATCAACAGCAGTGTTGTCCAATTAATCATGTAGGATGTCAAGATCGGAAAAAGAAAAAGTCATTTTCGTGGTTCAAGTTTATATAGATAAGATAATAACTATGTAATTGGTTATTTAAATTATTAATTTGACATTTTATTTAGTAACTATTGTAGTGTCAATACATTAATCGAAATACGATATTATATAATTAAGTGATTAAAAATAAATGTATTTAAATAGAAATAGATATAATTGGATCGAGTTAATTGTTAAACGGGAATCACTAGTAATAATTATAATTTATTTTTAATACTATAGTTTTATTTCAGACTGTTAAAAATCATTTAAATTTTATATGGTACACATTAGGTACCTTCCAATAAATTTAATATCATAGTTGCCAATATGATAACATGTTATTATTATTGTAATGTCCAATGAAATTATGATTTTTGAAAATTCCCACATTTTAATGTCAGTCGATAAATGAATTAATAATGACTGCATGGGAAGGAAAACGATTCACTCGGATTGTAATAACGTGACAATATTGACTATGGTGGTTAAGAATGAGAAGTGGTACGCACATTATAACGCAGGTAAACGTGACTGCTCGCATAGGTTTCGTATTACCTATAGAAAACGATCGCAAGCTATTCAAAATTCAAATAAAATGGTGACAATGTATTTTTCATAATCGTTTAAATACGAAACAAGCAAAGAAAACCCATATTATTAAACATAAATAATTGAAAATTTTCAATTCTTACATGTATGTGAAAATGAATTAAAGTGACAATAAGAGTATAACATTAGTTAATAGGTGATAAATATAATGATGGAAAAATAATTGAGGGTGATTCGGTGTTCAAAACACATAGTTATGGAATTTAAAATGTATAACATTTTTTACTATACTAATATCTACTCAATAGTACTCTTTGTCCCACATTTATTGACTATACCATACACCCCCGGTCCACGATCCACCATATCATTTTTTCATATGATTTCCTTGTTTTCAATTAATTTAGTATAGATCTATTTTTTTATACATATAACAAAAGACAAACAAATAAAACAATTCGATGCTTATAAATATTTCTAAAAATTAACGTAGTAGATGATAATGATACTTAAAATACCAACAATTTAAGAAAATATCTTAGTTTCCAGATTTAATATAGGCCGTACTGATATGATTATTTGAATTAATTTTATTATTATTATTATTATTATTATTGTTAATTGTAGGCAATTTTTTATCGTATAGTAGATAAATCTATATAGTGCTTATAATTACAGAATTTAGACAAATTGTTGTGATTACACCTTATAAATTATTTTTCATTGGTGCCGGCTTTAAATGTATAATATATTTTATAAAATATAATGACAACCGTCAGTATAGTGTTTTTGTTAAATGCAAATAGATACCTCTAATGTATATTTATGCGTGCCTTCGTTTCTTTTGAGCATTTGGTAACTCTGACATTCATTGATGCATTGCATATCATACTTGTACATATTGTTATGAAAAATATTTTAAATAATTTATGCAGAAATCCAACACATTTATACATACTGTACACAATTATTTTTGACGTTGAGATTTGTTATTCTGAATTGAAATGTAATTCTTAAATTTATTGTTTGGTATTTAATACATTAATCAGAAAAAATATTAAATTAATACTATTAGGAATAAAGTCAAGTTTTCACACTATTCGATTAAAATTACGTATATTTCTAGAGTTAAAATATTTGACAAACCACGTTTTCTGACCTTTATCGTCATATATAATAGACCTTATACAATACCTTTCTGTGACCATAGTAAGAATTTGCATTTTCGGGTATCTTTTTGTGGTCTCATTGTATAGATACTGTAATTACTCGTATATCTTTGGTGGGTATAGAATACAAATATCAGTTCACAGTTGAAACGTGTTTCTACAATTTATTTAGAGTTTATAAGCTGAACTATCCCTAACCGTAATGTAAATTACAAATATACACTTTTTGATAGTGGAAAGGGATTGAAGAGAGCATTCATTGACAATAATTAATAAATTAACTTAATTTAGTTTGTATTAGTGATAAAATCACGTGACCATTTTCATATGAGTCTATGAAATGGTTGTTCGGTATTGCGGTCAATATAAGGTTGGTGATGAGAAGATTAGAATGGTTTAGAACATTTTTGTGAAATTTATAATAATTATAGGATACCAGTGTTGATATCGCTGGAACATTGAAATCATGATGCGAAGATTTATTACTGACATACTAAGGGGCATTAGTGAAGAGTCTAAGGTTTATTGATTGAAATGATTGAAAGATTTTTAGATTACAGTTTTTTTTCGTACCTCAAACTTGAATGCTATACGTCATTACAGGGCGTATCAATTGCTTATAAATGAACATTTTGTTTTTTAGTAACATTTTGGATCGAAGTGATTATCTTAGTATGTGAAGTCTGAGGTTTAAAGATTTTTATTTTGTCTTTTTATGGGTTGTCCTAGACTTTAATTAAAAATAAATTAATTGCACGACTCTATTCGTAGTTTTAATTTATATTTTTAATATAATGTTGAATTTTTTTTATAGATTCGCCTTTAGTGATTAAGTAAAAGTTCAACTTTAGAGTATAAAATTAATTATTTAAATGGTAAAAAATAAGCATTGTTAAAAGAACTTTGAATTTCAAAATACAATTATTGTACAACTAAATTATGTATATTTGCATACATTTTCCCAATTATGAATGAAAATCTACAAGCATTGTTACATTAATATTTATTTTTATTTTTCAATAAACTCAGTATGTATAATTATTGTATTTGAATAAAAAAATAATAATAAACAAAACGCCCATGGCTATTTGTATGTTTTTGCGTGTTTCACGAATGTAGGTTTAGTGACAGATTATATGATAACAAGTTTCGGAAAGTCACAATATCACGCATTTATAAAAATAATAATAATGATAAGGTAATATTTTTTAACATTGTTAACTTTTATGAAATAAAATCACCTCGAATACTATTTTTACCTAGTTAGGTATTACAATATATATAATTATATATTATATATAAAATTAATAATATGACCTCTTCGGTTGGGCCCAGTATCTTTTCGAAGAAATAAACGACAATAACAATAGTGGGAAACGTTAAAAATTATTAAGTACAACGATTGAAATAAAAATATTTCTATTGTATAAACTTAGTCGTAGTATATTTCCACTACTAAATCCACAAATGTGAAACAATTTTGTTTTCATAATGTATACATTGTGTTAATGTTTATAAATATAAAAATTTTACATTACATAAAAAAATAACTGTAATTCAAAGGTTCTTTATTATTAAATTAAAGTAGTTCAAAAAACATTTGTTGATCACAATACATTATAAAGATTATTCGTGTATATTATGATTAATTATTTTATTAGGACATTGGCCATTGAGTGCTTCGAGTTGTATATTAAGTTATAATCTAAATTTTTTATGAATTAGTTAAATTAAATAAATAATCACATTAACATAACATTTAGATATTTTTCTAAATTCATAGAACGATAAAACAATATTTAGTACGCCAAAACCAGCTCTAATTTATTAAAATGATTTGAATTGTATTTTTTAATATTATCTACACATAATATTTATTATTTGTAACCAAGAACCCCCTATGCTTATATCACCAATAACAAGCAATAGGATACCTACCTATACGACTATGATATATATATCAATGCATATATACATAATATATAATACATAATATATAAGTAATACAGATGTATATTACCCATACACGCTGTCATTAATAATTCAACGGCCGCCAGTTTGAATTCGATAATGTCTATCGGTGTTTGTTTTAAAATGAACGCACACGTCTACGGCACTATTACGAACGCAAAAACTATACCGATCCATAAACACACGGACAAATGTACACGTTAATATCGATGAAAATGTTAGAAATATTAAATACCCAAAATAACATATACATCAATTAAGTTTTTAAAGAGTTTTACACACATATATAATGCAATTAAAAAAATTATTATTTTAATAATATTTTAAATGTACAAACCGATTTTAAAAATAATATAACAATACATTTTGAATGATAATAATAAATAATAACACCCTAAGTATTTATATTTCTTAACTTATCTAGGTCTAACCAGAACTCATTTTAAATTATCTTTATGTTAAACGACCAATCGTTCACAATGATTCCTTCCTTTATTTTTTCATGCTCATTCGCGATTTCATTAATTTTGTCAATATTTGTTTATAACCTAACCATTTGTATACCTAATGATGAATTTTCAATTCGAAACCAATCGTTCATTACGAATATCAAATACTACACCAGGCTAAGCATTTGTTTATTTATTTTTATGCATAATATTTATCCGCACGTTAAAATAAAAGTGAATACAACTATTCGTGCCGGACAACGCGATTTTTATTGTTTGGACATTTATTCGAGTCGCGGCGACATTTGTTGTTCCCGTTCCGGATCGCAATAAAAAATTAATTTGCACTTCTTTCACCGATTCACTGGCCCGACGAGATAACCGGACCCACGCCGTCCGCACAAATGTTATTCTCTCGTTATCAAATATTATTATTACGATAAATTATAAATATTGCGCGTACATTTTTTTTTTTCGATTTTTTTTAATATAACGTCAATGTGGTCGCTGCGATGCTGCGATGAATATTGTTTTCCGCGTGCGGTACGACTGCCGGCCGGTAGACGGCGACACGGTACGGTTAGTACGGTTACGCGCGGCAGCGGCGGCAAACGAGGGAAAAACCGGCTCCGCCGGCGGCCCCACCACGTCCGCGTGTAGTGCGCGTCCGCCGGTCCAGCATTCGGTCGACGTCTCTCCGTGTATGTTGTGTGTTCGTGCGTTTCCGCTCTCCGTTTGCCGCGACGATAACGACACTGTCTAACAATAATAATATTGTTCCGACACGGGAATTTCGGTTTTATCGCTAAAACGGTTGTTCGTTTTCGTTCGCGCAACCGACCCGTCGTCCGGCGGACTTGTGGTTTAATATTAATTTTACATTTTGTTCGCGGTTCGAAATCTTGTTGCCGGATGTGCGCGGCCGAGACTACGCGCGCGCGATAAATCCGTTTCGATCTCCGACCGACGGAAATGTGGTGATCGTCCGAAAACCCGAGACCAACATTTTCTGCCGCGTAACCGTGTGTCAACAATAGCATCAGCAGCAGCAGCAGCAGCGGCGGTGACAACATGAGGTTTCTCGTGTGCGCTCTCGTCGTATACTTATCAGGTTGGTGTCTTTAATTTTTACCCGTTCCCCGTTAAATGATCCTTCCCCGACCCCGTTTTTTCCATCGGTCCCGTGCAATAATATCGAGCACCGTTGCTCGTGAAATGCGCACGGACGCACGCGCTTGCCCGCAGCGCACTTACAAATTTATAGCGATCGTCTTAAGCCCTGCAAATCCGGCGTGCGCGGTACAAAAATTATATACATCCCAGCGACAATACATTACGTTTTATGTGGCAAAAACCGTACGTGTACTGTTTTTTTTTTCAGTAAAATATTTTCACCTGAATTAAATATTATGTGTACGTACTGCAGATGGCGTAGAAGGGAAAAAGCGGATCGGACACCGCTGCGCCGTGGACTGAGAGAGCGGAGACATTATTTTGAAAAACGCGCGGCATCAATACATATTTTTTTTTATTTTTAACGCACTGCAACCGTTTTCAACCCGGTCGCTAGTATTTCAAACATAATTTCCGTTTCGTTGATCTCCTTTTTATTTTTTATAATTTCAGTGTAATAAAAACTATTTTTCTGCTTCATAATTTATGAGAATACCAAAAGATCGATTTAAACATATAAAATACTCAAATATAAATAGCTGTTGTTTTTTAATGCTTATTCGATCAAATAATTTAAGTGTTTTTTTAATTTTTTTTTTTTATTAATGCATCCTCTGAGACGTGACCCTGCGCGAACATCGACTTTATTCGTCTGGTTCGCAATAAACAAAAACAATGTTTCCGTGTAAACACGGCTCTTTTTTATTTCAGTTTTTCTCGAGGTTTTTCTTCTCCATTCTTCTTTATACTTTATTAATACTGTGTGTAGCGTATACGTTTCAACACTTTTTAAATAATGCGTTTTCTTGACACGTTGATATAAATGTATAAAAACATTGTGGTGCCTTCTTATATGTATATCTGCTAAATATTTTCAGACGGTTACTATTTGAACTGTAGTTATAGAATTGCATGTTGTTGAATTTTAATGAGTTTTAAACTGATTTTCCGGTTGTCGTGAAAATACAACTGTTAGTTACTGTAACCGATTGAACGTATTTTACTCGTCCTTCATTTTTCCCCGCACTTCTTCATTATTTTTCAATAGTATTATACCTGCGGACCATTATCGGTGTAAGACGTTAGTGTATATTTATGATTCGTGTTTCTCGCACCGTTAATATCTCGGACAAGATCTACGAAACCAATAGTTTAAAGAACTAAAAAAAAACCATTACCGTCTGTTCTGTTAGGGACCATTATAGAATAATATATATCACGGTTCATATGACCACGGGGATGTAAAAATGTACGGTTACAGGTAAAACGTATTTGTATTGTAAATAGTATTTAAATAATCGGGGACGCGCAACATCGACATGTCGCGTTCATTGTGTGTCTAAACTACTGCATCCCGAAGGTCTTTGGTGTAAAATAACACTTGGATCTTTTTTTTTTTTTTTCATCGATCCATTTCTTTTGGTACCCAAAATATTGTACATGTATACCATAATGTATAGAATGATTCGGCCGCGATTTTTGATCCGCGTTTGTATGCAATTCGGCGGGGACACCATGTGCTGTGCGAGGCATACAATGGACCAAAGATAGGTTCGACAAAGGTTTCCAAAATGTATTTTGTAATTTTTCCGCGTGTGTGTGTTTGTGTGTGTGTGTGTGATAATTGTTTCCCTTTGTTGTAATTTGCCCGATAGTAAAAATCGACAATTTCATTTGGACTTGGCCCAAGTCGTCAGCGTGACTGTCTAAAGGGTTTTTTGATGTATTCATGCGTAAATAACAAACACTAATCGGTTGTGTTCGCAGTCACGTTCTGGTGGTTAAAACAAAAATAAAACATTTTATATGTTTTGTTTCTTCACTTGAACGTCGCGCGGTACCCGATGAAATTAGTGCAAATGTTTACTTCTCCGGGATGGTTTGTGCTGTGACCCCAAACGGAGGTTGTTTGCCGGTTGCCAATAATTGTACTCTTGGGGTACTCCTGTATTCTGTAATATTTCTATATTCTAGAAGTGAATACCTGATTCATTCACGTTGTATTTATTCCTTATTTTAAAACAGTTTTAGTCTCAGTATTAGTGTTTAAATATGCTGCACTATAGTGATTTTCCGCTTTGAAACGGTCACGTGTGTGATAAACAATAAAAATTAATTCGCCTCGCATCAGTAAATTCTGCTTGTATTGTGCAATAGTTATAATATATGTTTAGTAATGCCTACTCGTGGTTCATAGATGTTCTTTTCAGAATTATTATGGATTATACGCGATAAATTGTGATTAAAAATACTCGGTATGTATCTGAGTTGTATTCTGTATATTTATTGTATTTAATAAATATGTATTTTACCGCATAATTTATTGACTAAAAATTTTAAATAATGTTGATCCTCGAACCCTAAATATTTTTAGAGTTTTCTTAAAATACTTTTTGTAGTTTAAGAATTTATTTATTTTACCTTTGATATTGGAAATACCTATACTAATGTTTTATTTAAATTAAAAACTATAACATTTTTAAACGTAGGTGTACAAATATTTTATGACATAAGTAACAACTTTTTTTTTTACTAACAAATTAGTCAGCGTATTATATTTTATTCTTTGTATTTGTTTTGAAATTAGCTAATTTGAATATTCAATGTATTAAAGACAGAATTTTACCAATATGCATTAGTTAGTAATCCGAGATGACTTGTGCTGTGACTCAGGTTTTTTATTTCTGTGGTGCATTTTAGTCACCTTGTTTTTATTATTTTTTTATTTGGAAACGCACTTAATCCGTAGAGGCTGAATGGAGGTTGTATACTTTCTCTTCAACCGGTATTTCCGATGAATCCGTTTTATTTTCTCAGAATATTGAGAAAAGTTTACTATTCTTAATATATTATTTTTCAAGTACAAATACGATTTGTTTAGTTTACTTAAATAGCTAGAACTATGACCGTAATGTATTGCTATATTATCTCAACAATATTTGATAATTATTTTAGTTCGTTGCGTAACAAACGATTCTTTTCCTCCAATTTATCAAATGTTATAGTAGTATTAAATGTATTTTTTGTTTTTTATAGTTCTATTCTCAGGCGTCTTAATTATTATCGCCACATGACGGCATAACGACCGTTTATATATTTTCGCTGGTTGCACAACGTTTCGGCATTGTTCTTGGGGGTCCCCATGGCGGCGGCGCTCTAGTTCTTTCACATAGGGTTTGAAAAATAGACCGTTTACTACCCACAACGAAGTATTTCGATACGGTGATCTATTATATCTAACGTTCTAACCTATATTATCTTATTGGAAAAGCTCACTTATTTAGGATTGCTACAATATTCACTAAAACCAATATTATTAATGTTACTTCTGAACCCATTTTATTTGTGTTTTATTTTTTTTTTTTATTTTAATTTGTTTAACATTTCATAAATGTATCGACTCGTTATTTATAATATTATAGGTTAGGTACCTACCGTGTAAAATATTTCATTATTTGGTAGATAACAATATATTACGAAATAATCTTTGGTCGTAGAATTTATTTCGAGTTTCTGTGCTTTGGATATGATTTACTTCCGACCAAACTACTACGGTTCGTGTTAATTTTAATTCTACGGTCGATTACATCTAATTGTCAATTGTCATCATTGGAAAAGTCTATCCGATCGTTATGGTTTACGTCGAAAGCATTACGATTATTGTCAAGAAACGCTGAAATCTAAATTGAAAGGAAAAATCTCAATCAAGTATTTAACGACTATTTTTGCGCATTATTATATTTTTAGTCTCCAAAACCTAAAGGTGATTGGCCTAAATCGTTTTCATACAATGTTATAAGAAATTTCTGTATATTTCGTCGTTTGACAGTTCATAATCCTGTATTATGTTTATGATGTTGTTTATATGTTTTCGTATTCAAATATTTCTCAATCGTTCCGGAACAATACATGTGTAGTGTATATGGTATTTAAAGTATTATTGCAGAACTCTTCGAATGTGTAGTACATGTGTAATAAAATAGGTAATAATAATAGTAAGGCGGCAAATTTTAGCAACTATATTTTCTAGGGATTGCTAATAATAGAATGAATAGTAATAATATGAGTACTATAGAAATTTATGAAAATCTTAAGGAGATAAAACCAGTTTCGTATTAAGTTAAAATATTATCCTCCCTACGTAGCTACCGTTTGAGACCGATGGGGTTGAAATGCGTGTAAATATTCAATTTCTCGGACCATAAATCATCCGGCTGCGTTCAACGCGATCTCTTGCAGCGTACACAAGACAAACCGAAGACCCCCTATTGTAACATACTGTCGACACTAATGTCGAATCTCATTACCGTCGAATAAATTTTCGACCATAACACTAAACTACACAACGTTATTGCTATGAAATTTTATCTGACACACGTCCGTAAATGCGTGTAACCCGTGGGCGTAGGTACTACAGGTATAATATTTTTCGTTCTTTTTTCCACTCGTATCGTATGCTTTTTTTTTTCTTTTAAAACTCGTAATATATTGTAATAAATGTTGCCGAGAAACTGGTTTTACACGAGATATCGGAACCAGTTTGTGTAACGGACGCCATACGCATATTACGTTACTACGTGGGCCGCAGCAGCAGCAGCAACAGCAAACTCCATGATCGATAGGGCGCCGGTCGCGAGACGATTTTTACAACTCCGATAGTCCCCCTCCCCCCGTCCCCACCGTACTAACCTTTTACGACGTCGTGTTTCCGATGCTAATGACATTAATTTGCGACCGGTCGTATTTTATGCGCTCGGTTCTAATCGAAGATGAGCAAACATTATATCCGTTCGATAAACGTAATACTGGTTTATTTTTTTGTCCGCAGCGCGTATATAGCATAAAATTTATGTATACATTTATACGTGTATGTAACGTTTATGTTTACGTACCACGTGGTGTATACACAGGCGCGCGCGCGTACACCTATTTCGTATA